AAAACAGCACAAAACAAAAAAAAAGTCCATAACAGGCCGTGCACAGTGGCATGGTAGGAACTGATGTTACTGATCTGGAAGCCAGTCGCAGTGGATAACAGCCTACGTGTAAAGTCAGCAGTATTAGTGAATATAAAAATTGTGTGCCTTTTTGAGTGAAGAAGGTATAAATTGGAAAAAGGGCACCGCACCATTATCATGGGAAACTGCCAGGAAGGTTAGGATTTCCAATTACACTTACATTAAGACACAGTTATGTTTCCATTACTTCCAGTACTTACGTGTTTTACAATTTGCTCCTGTCCACGTAGAAGTGCATGAACAAATGTAACTTCCTCCAGGGAGAGGGAAACAGATTCCACCATTCTGACAAGGGTTAACAGAACATGGCTCCGACGCTGTGTTAAACAGAAAGTAAAAGCATATGGCAGAGAATTTAGTTAAATGTGAAGTTACACATCACACAATTGCTTAACATTTTAAAGAGTGCTTTTCGGGTACTCACGTGGCCAGCATCTATACAAATTTATTGGACCAAAAGAAAGCATTTTCATATGACAAGAGTTCTATTCCCACAGGATTGGTTTGGAACACCAATATAGCCGCCGTTCCATTGTTTAGGAACGCAAATTTGGCCGCCAGGACGTCGTGTAGGTAGGGCAAAAACATTCCACTAAATGGTGCATGGGGGAATTGGCTACATCACACGAATACCAAAGGCAGGTTCCTTTAAGTATGAGCGGTTTAAGATAGCAATTACCTTTGACAATTGAATCTTTGAGAATTCCCATAATTGTACCAAGTTCACTATATGAGGTAACCGTAAACGCGTTATCTGAGTGTGGCGCAGAAGCCATTTCATTAAGCTGTCCACGTACATACTGACCAATGCCAACACTGATTACAGAGATACCGCTCGTTCTTAAGGCATGCGCAGATGCAGCAACAGCATCATCCGAACTTCCATCTGTAAGTACGACTAAAACGTTGTAGGTTTGTCCGGAAGTGGACTGGTTAAACAAATCTGTCTGGGCCAAGAGCAATGCCCTTGCTATGTTACGTCCACTTCCGCTCATCGTTATGGCGTCTAGAGAGCTCTCTAAGGCAGCCTGAGATGAAATGTCTCCAAATCCCAGCCTGACGCTTGCTCCACTAGAATAGGTAATTATGCCGATGTTTGTTTTGGTGCTGGAGATGTTAAATGTTTTCCCAATTCCTTTGACTAATGCTAGTTCCTTTGCAAAGTTTCCTTTCTGGAATTCATCGATACTCATTCCATTGTATATTAAAAAGCCAATGTTGTAGCTGCCAGTGTAAACTGAAAAAAAAAAACACCATACAAAACCGTTGTGTACATGATGACTAAAACAGTACAACCCTTTCCGCTGAGACTTGAAACTCATATGAAATTGATCAACTATGACAACTATACCTGAATGATGTAAGACAAGAATAAAGATAGCTGCTGGGGCAGGCAACACCTGGATAAAAGCTCCAAAGGTTTTTGTACAAATTTTTTATCAAAAACATCAGCAAAAGGAAGAGAACCTACGTTTAGCACAATAATAAGCCATTTTTAAAGACTTCGTACGAAAGATTAGAAGAGAATATTTCAGAAATCTTTACCTCCAGAGCATGAGTTTTGAATAAGAAAATTTCCCGCCACGCAATTACAGAAGGAAGTTCCATGAAAGTTGACACATATTTCCCTTGGACTGACGCATTGGTTATTTGAGCATTCATTTAAATCTAAAGCGAAAAAAAAAGGCAATTGACAGAAGTCAAGATTAGTTTGTTGATGAGACTATACATTAACAAGCAAATGAATACTAAGGGAAGAGTGCAATCTATAAGTGTCAATCCAAATAGACGGTAATTATAGTTCCAGAAAATATATATCCATATCCCCCGCCAATTGTCTATGGCATAAATGTAAATTGCAACGGCGTTGTTGACGGAACTATTCTTTCCAGGGGATACGAAACCAGGTTGGATAATTACGGAAATTTCAGGGGGTGCAAGGGGGAGTATAACAAGCACCCACTGGAATGGAAATTTCAAGGGGATTGGGGTATAAAATAGAAATGCCCTCCGTGGGTAGGGAAACTACACATTGCATGTTCTGTTTAGCCTCATTACTTGCAGAATGTACGAGTGAAGATAAGCGTGTATTGAAATACGTGAAAGAAAACACTGTAAACTATACTACTTGCCTATTTGGCAGTCCTGCCCCGTGAAACCAGATTGGCATCCACAGATGTAACTATCCGTCAAACTCTGGCAATTACCTCCGTTGTGACATGGGTTGCTATAGCAGTGGTCAACCTCTGAAAAAGTAAGAAAAAAAATTCAAGTTTTTTTGAAATATATATTTAATCCTGCTTTTCTATACACTCTCTGCCGATGTGGATTACAGGCAATTAGGCAATAACCAATCACAAGGTTTCTAAGCGTCAGAATTGAAACGCAAAATAATAACGCTGCCTTTGGGCGCGTAGCATTAACCTTTGAAGACCCATGAGTGACCAACATCATTTTTTTTCTTGAAAATATCAATATAAAACGAAAAGAAAAAGTTATGAGAATTAGTATATTGGCCACCAAAGGGATATTAACAAAATCTCTACACTTTTTCTTTAAGGAAATGTTTCTAGTACAGTCTGGAGAATTGTAGAGGGATTCTGGGGCTAAAAGGGTCTAAAAAGTGTTTACTTTTTACTTTTACTTTCTAAGTTTCGTTCTGCTAAAAATCAAGGGACTTTTAATATCCAATTAAAACTTCAAGCGCGACTGTAGAGTAAAGTTCCGCAATTTAATTGAGACTTATTACGATGCCAGAAGTATCCTAATTTATCCCTAAGCGATGCATTTTAACCTTCAAACAGGGTATTGCCTTCGTCAATTACCATTTATTTTACTTTTGTAGATAGAGAAGGTTTTGGATTAATGATGTTAAGGAGGTACTCGCTACTTACCAATACAAATGAAATTTTTAAGTTGTGTAGCGACCTCTGGCAAGCTATCAAAATCAAACTCTTCTAATACATAAGTTGAATCGGGATCAGATGATGTCACGTCCAACTGTTCTCTGGCGTAGAACTCGCCGACGCCCACAGAAAACATGACAACCTTCATTGCCTTGAGAAATGCAGATGGAAGCGAAATTTCGTCAATTGAAACTCCATCGATCATTGTGACTAGGATGTTCGGTATTCCCCTGCGAGCAGAGGGGAATATCTCATTTCGAACGTTCGTTAAACCATTCCCGATTCTGGTGTCCTTTCCTGGGAACACGATTCCGTCAATGGTCGAGTTGATGACGGATTTACTGTAATACCTATCCAGTCTAAATTCTGTGGTGGCGTTGGAGGAATACACTGCGACAGCGACATTGGTCTTATCTGGGCTGACTTCATAGAAATCTACGACTGTCTTGAGTAGGCTTTTATAT